CACACACATGTGCAGCCACACACACGCACGCACGCACACACACACACGCACACACATACACACACACACACTCATACATGCTCGCTGCTTGCCCTCAGCCCTACTTTATTTCTGAGGCTGAAGTTTCCATTACAGAAATAAAAGCATGACGGCTAATCCAGTTATATGTTCCCTGGACTACACCCACACCCACATGTACACTCGCACGCACACACACACACACAGACACACATGCACAAACCTGCTGAATAACAAGCAAGTACAAAGACATACATGTTGAGAGTGGACAAATACAGACTTGCATGGAGACACACAAACATGACTATACTCACTCATAAACACACACAGTCGTGTTTCCCAGACATTTGGGGACCTTACACTGCCTTACATTCATTTCCTGGAGACTTATCCTGACCTTAACCCTAACCATATCCACTACCAGCCTTACCCTAACCTTAACCTAATCCTAAACCTAACTTTACCCTTACCTTCAACCAATTTTCACCCAAAAATATAATGATTTACGTTATGGGGACCTGCATTTTGTGCCTATAAGGAGGGTGGGTCCCCACAATGTGACTGTGTAAACAAATATACCCTGTATGTCCCCACAACATGGGTAAAACACACCCACCTCTACACTCAGACAAATGCATCTGATTGAAGCAAGACCCCCTATTGTGAAAGAAGTCAAACAGAGCTTTCTGGAAATAAATACCAAAGACTGGTAACCCTCCCCCCCCACTCATAATCTCACAAAACAATTTCCTACAGAGCTGCACATTCTTCCTATGGAGCAAAGGATCGAGAGAAAAACGAGGGAGAAGAAAGAAGGATCTCTACCAGTTGTAATCCTTATCACACTACTTTCCTCTCTTTTTAATTCACAAAGAACAGCATAGTCATCCAGATTTAGAGGTAGGAGGTGAAATAGAAGTCACAGTGTGGACGGATTCAATCGCATCATGACTACATCATATATCTGTCCGGAAACACTGAGCAGCAGGGCAGACACTTTTCCCTTTTTTTTAGGGAAAACAAAAACATGTTGCCTCCACACTGAGATTAGTTATGCAATGTCATATGAGTATTTTTCTCAGACTATAGAAGACGGTATAGAGACTGAAGATGGAGGAAGGAGAAGATGAGAGAGAAGTAAAAACAGTGAGATTCAGAGAGACAGAGAGAGTGTGTGAAAGGGGGGTATGTCCTACATGCATGGACACTCAGGTCATTCCAGATAATTATACTACCTATGGTGTTTTCTCTCTCTCCTCCATACATTTATTAATTTACTGTGTTAACCCTCACATGCCCGACCACAAGATAACAAAAACACACACTCTCTCACACATTATCCATTCACGTCCTGTATATTTGAAGTTTAAATGGTATTTCGCTGCTCTTTAGCGTTCATTGATTGAGTTAATTACGTCCTTAATGAGGACACTATTTCTTCCTATATCTAATTAAAGGGTAGGGACACCGCTAAATTGTCAGTGTCCTGAAAATGCCCGGGCAAGTTGGAAATTGAGTTCCTGTGGTTCCTGAGTTCATCAGGGGTAACATTTGTCTTGAGCCCGGATGATACACAGAGCACACCCGCACTTAGTGATGAACCTACAGAGAAGCTTCAGCTCATTGTTTAGCTATCCGGTCCACAACTTTACTTTAATCTCACCGCTCTCATTGTGTCCTTGTCATCTGCAGCATGCAGCTGTTTTCAGCGACAAAGCTCTAAAAACCTGCTGTACGCTATCTAAAGATACTGTATAAATAAAATCTACTTCAACAGGAAGAGTTGTAACATGTGTGTTTCAATCCCTGGATGAGGTGAGTAACTTTGCATGATGAAGCATGATTAGCATAATACACATAGTTAGTGCAAATCTACATGCATTCAGGATTTCTTTTATATATGCTCTTTTGGACCCTCTGAGTGAATTCGCTGCAGACTTGTGAATGTGCACATAGATGGTGTCTTAATTCATGGTAAGTAAGCTATTTTTAAGACTCCTCAAAAAGGCACACAAGCGCGCGCGCGCACACACACACACACACACACACACACACACACACACACACACGCACACACACATGTTGGTCAAATGTTAATGCTTTATTAATTCATGGATTTAAATCTTAGGGCGTTGAAATTTTTCATCCATGCAAATGGACAGAATGCTGATTGAGAGTGAGAGAATATAAAGAGGTGGAGGAAGGGAAGAACAAGACCAATGGTGACGGCGGAGAGAGAGGGGGAATTAAAAAAGAAAATCAGTACTTAAAAATAATAACCACGTCATGGCCTGATTGGTTTGGTTTCCTCATATTTAACTCAGTGGACTGGGAAATGAGAGAGTGACAGAGAGGAATGGAGGCAGATTGAAAGAGAAAAGTTAGACAAAAGACAGTGAATGAACAGAGTAAAAGAGAGGAACAGAAAACAAAGCAAAGGGGGATGGGGAAAAGAAAGGAAAGGAGAAACAGAAGCATAGGAAATGGAATATGGATAGTTCAACATAAAATCACAAATTGGCTATTTTACACTCTTGTCCATGTCTGGATTAATCAAACAAGATATAATCATTTGTGTAAATAAGGCAGTGAGTAGTTGCTGGGTTTAGTTTGTCCCTTTTGACAGAGCCTGGCTAGCTGTTTCCAGGCTTTATGACTCGAGCTCCGTACTTAATACACACATTACACATTACAAACCAGCACTTCTATAACATTATCAGACTAAGATGGATAGTCTTTGCAAAAAAGGACCAAAATTGATGCAGCGGACCCAGAGATGTCGTCTTCTTCATCCATGCATTCTTTTTCCTCGTCACCGGCAGTTCATTGTGAGATTAAGCTTTGTGAATGCGGTGAATTACTTGTCCTGTGGATTTGCCTCCTCCTTTGCTGTAGTGTGTATATGGTCAGTACATTTCAGGATCTCTTGACAAACTTTACATCATGTTGTCCAAGAAATTCTGACCTTTTGATAAAAGGACTGATTGCTTCAAGTTTTACTTTACGAGCTGCCTCCTCTGGAGAAAAACAAAGTTGCAATCACATAAAGCCACGTAGAGAAAAGGGTGTCAACAGATTACTTAACGTCTAAATGAACTATACAGAGTCCTATCTTGCTTGTAGTAAAGATATATGTCGGCTGAGGTGTGAGCACCGCAGAGGCACAAAGAAAAACTCCACTAAAAGTCGAGTCCACACCAGAAAGAAAAGAAAGCTCTGGTTTGCCTCATTACGCCAGCCTTTAGCCCCGGCCTCGGACAAGAAGTAATGAGCAGCAGGACAGCCAGTCATTAGCCTAAATAGCTGCAATGGCAAAGCAAAGTCATGTCGCTTTCAGATGTCGACATTTAACACTCTGTGAGAAAATGTTAAGCTTCCCCTTGGGAAAAATGATTCACGATTTTACTTCAAACTTCTCTGAATTAATCATGACACTGGCCACATTCCCTAATAAAATGATTCTCTTTATGATTGTTATTACTCCTAGGTCGGCAAAGACACAACTTTTAAGGTTTTATTGCAATAAACTTTGTTGCAGGTTATAATGTGATCTGATCTATTATTCACAATGAAAGTATCTCTCTTCCTCTATAGTATAGAGGAAGAGAGATACTAGAGGAAGAGAGATACTTTCATTGTGAATTGAGAGTCGATAGGCACTGAGGCTTAAACTGATTCGAAAAGCTGCAGGTCCATAAAGAAAATACTTAGAGTGGAACAACTGTAACATAAACTTTGATTTCATGCTTCTGGTGCATGTATATGAGTGTGTGTGTCTCTGAACTCTGATTTCACGCCTCCAGGAGGCTGTGAAGCGTACGATGATCCGCAGAGAAATAGGGAGGAAGAAAGAAGACTTCATACAAATTCAGGATTATAAAACCCATAATACCCGGAGGAGGGTTTCGGTCCTGATTGAATGTTTAATGACATAAAATCTGTGTCGCTGCTGACAGCGGTGGGAGGTTGAGTCTTTTAACATTTCATAATAAAAAACAGCTCACCTGGCAGTTTTCATTGTTAAAAGAAAGACACAGCAATGATACATATGCTGTTAGTCACAGGTTTGCTCTGATTTGAGTTCCAGTTCTGTTGTAAAGGATACATTTTGCATTATTCTACACTTTTCTCATTACCAACAAAGACTGAAAGACAACAATGCTTTAGTCGCTCAGCCTCCTGCTGGGTACTGGAGTTTTTAAGCAAACATTAGTCAAAAACTAGTAAATAGTGCTTTTATTTGGGACTGCTTTCAGATGCGGATTATTGCACATTTGGTGCTCTACTACGGCAGCAGGATGGTGTTTGTGGGATTACCAAATAAACAGATACACGTGATGCACTCCAACAGTTTGTTGGATCACAGTGCACGTAACACGGATTCATTTCAGCCTCTCTCTCAGCAGAAATGTGCTGACTCTCCTCCTTTTTTGTTGGACAGAGATAATACACATATCTGACTTTCAGGGCCAATCCTTCAGCAATAATAGTTTATCCGCTGGCACCATATGACTCCAGACTTCAGGCAGAGTGAATGGGTTATGAACTGCACCAACATGTTGCCATCATCCCATTAAACATGAATTTATTGTTTGTTTATGTCTTATAACTTATTAAAAATATCACTCTAGTAAACACTTGATGTTGCACCTTGTAAACATTCGTCCTCTTTGCTTCACTAACCTCTGACCGGTCATTACACCTCCTGTACTTTCCCGTCTCCCTCCCTTCTCTCTTTCTACTAACATCTCTCCCTTCCTAGTTTCTCCATTGTCATTACCAAATCTTGTGTTAACGATTGAATCCCCTTACTATGCACATTTAATATTCTGAAAAAGACATGAAAACAATCTATGACAACCATCTGTTCATTGTTTCTCCATATTACACAATTAGTGCACTGCATTGACCAACATTGTAGACGTCTAAATCAAATCCACACATAGACTCTGAACCCAAACAAATGGTCTGTTTACTTTCCCCGTTGGTGCCGTTACAAAAAGCCTCTTCTTCATGAGCTCAAAGTCGTTTTCTTCACATTCACAGGTGAGTGTGATTATGACTGCAAAACATTAATCCGTACTTCCAAATTAATGCTTTTATAACGATTATGTCATCATTTCTGTCGTATATTCTGTTAAGGTATGCAAAGTGATATTTTATTAGTTATTGACTCCCTGCACATGTTTTTCCTTTTCTATTTCTATAAAGTTCATTTCCTGCCTTTAATCCAGATTTGACACTGTTGTGAATTTTCCCTTTTTTATTTAGATTTTCAGACGCGACAGTGCTTTCAGTCATGATGAGGAGCTCTGTGTTGTTTTGCCTGGCTGTCAGCTTTGCCATGTTTGGATTTGGTAAGAAAAAAAGGGGTTGAAAAAGGAATCAGAATTGCTTTTGCTCGCTCTTTTTTTTGAGCGCATCCAAGTGGGGCTAAGTCAGAGAGATTATATGTTTCGCAAAGAGAAAACATCAGCCTGAGGGAACGTTTTGGCACATCACTGTGCAGCTTGCTTGTTCGGCCTCCAGTTCACACTATACAGAGTCAGTGATAACTATTCATTCCTAATATTTTCTATGATGTTTCAGGACATGTTTGCTTTGCGCACAGTTGTGTTGCAGCTTTTTTTTTTTTTACTCATAGCTGGTTTATTGACAGGATTGTAATATACAGTATTTATGAAATACAACATATCAGGGGTATGTTTTGTCAAGAATAAAACTATAAAGTCCTGGATCATTTCTGTTAAGATTTTCACAGACCACCATTCTTCAACTTTAATATAGTTTCCACAAAGGGAAGTAAAATCTTCTTCTGTGTGCAATAGTTATTCAGCTTCAGTTTGGAATTCATTTAACCTTTCTATCAAACAAAACAAAGATATATCACAAAACTGTATACAGATCATACAAGCAAACACCTCCAATATCTGACATTAATAAATACCTTATATTTGCTGTCTTGGAAATCTCATGAACATGACTTTGCTTGGGGGAGCACTGACTGCGCCACATGAGACTGAAGAGCTCTGTCTGGTTTCTCCAGGCCTCTCCCTGCAGTGCTACTCCTGCCCTGATGGCCTCTCCAACGACTGTCAAGTCAAACAGCAGTGTAACCAAGGTGAAGACAACTGCATCAAACTCACCAGTGGTGGTAAGTATTGTTCAGGAATGAAACAGTGCAATATCCAACAATTGTTGAAGTCATCATAAAATGTCTGTCTGATGCCAATGTTGATTAAATGTTTATTGTGAATGAATTCTGCAAAGCGATTTGCCTGATCCGACAACAACTGATGGTTTAACACACAACACATTTTGATTATCATATTTGCACTTTTGACAAACAGTGAAAACTTAATAAGACATAAAAAAAACATTCTTAGCACAAGGTCCATTCTCTGGAGCTTTCCACCGCATCTCATGGGCTTCATCAGTGGACAGAGTTTGCTCTGTTGTCATGGAAGTCTTAATAATAATAAAGCCAGTATGTTTGCAGGTAATAAATACACTGGACCTCATTGAGTGTTCTTCCATGAATTAAAATACTTTTTTGATTTGTTTTATTTCTTCAATGGGATGGTTATCTTCTAGACAAATCATATTTGGAGGAAAATGCTTTTGAATATTTGTTTTATTGGTCTTTCTTTAAACTGGCCTTGGCTGCTATTGTCCTTGAAATGTGAAGTGCTGGTATCGGTATCCGTTATAATGATTGTAATGCTCACAAAACTAATGCTGTGTCTCTCACACTCCCACCAGAAAACACCTACACTCAATGTATAAGGTACGCAGACTGTGACTTCATGACTCTGGCCGTCAGATATTCCCTCGCTGAGTTTGAATTCAGCTGCTGTGGGTCAGAACTCTGCAATGGCCAAAAAAAAAGTGCGCTTCAGAAATTTAAGGATTTCTTTGGTTAAGAAATAAAAAAAAGAAGAAAATAAATACGAACAAATGTAGACTCTTCCATGTAGCGTGTAATTGTGGTACCACTGATGAACATTGTTCGCTAAACAATAAAGTCTCGATTAAAAATATTTTAAAATCAACTGTCTTTCTAGAGGAAGTGTACCTTTAAGTTCTGATGCTGAGGTCAGCAAAGCATCAGTGAAACATGTTTGACTGATCTTATGAGACATATAAATAAACTGAAGGTTCTACTGGTCCAGTCATGTCTTTCTACATTTATCCACACTGCAAACAATTTATTGTCTATGTTGCATCATAAACGTCGTATTTACTTAAAACATTACAATATAAATCCTATATTTTAAAATTAGTGTCATTTATCTTGAGCTGCACTTGGTGATATTCAGCATTTCTTTCTGAAGTTCCGGAACAAACTTGATTTGTATGTGAGAAGAGGTTGAAGTAATGCTACCACTTTTATATTAAGGCATTATTTATCAAGAGTTTACAAGTTGTTAACATTCAGATTCAGATTTATTGACTCACGACTATGATTGCCCTGTATAGAGTTAGCTGCTAGCCCAGCCAGATCTCACTCCCAGTGCCTCTTGATACAGATGCACCTTTTAGCATATGAGACGCAACAGCTTTTAACTAACTCCAAAAGCCCTTTGCTAACTTGAATGGGGATAAAATAATTTAATTGTGCGGCTTTCCAAATGTCCTGAGTAAATTGATCAATATCCGCACAACATAGCGACAGAGTAGGCTATGGTATGACAATTTCATATTTGCACTCAAAAAGCAGATCAAATTGATCACTTTTCAATCATTGTAGAAAGTACTCGGTGAAAAAATACTGAGAAAGAAAGATCCTGTAGACAGAGCATTGAAACTGGTGAAGCATAACAAAAGCCTGGAAATATTCTGAAGAAGATCATCAAAGTCCAAGACTGTAAGAGTGTCTGCTGCTGCTCTTGAACATGATTAAGATTCATTTTCCAAACAAGCTGCTGTATTCTCCTTCAGCCGATTATAGAATAATGTGACGTTTCTGCAGCAGTGAGTGAGAACAATGTCTAAATATGTTGACTTTAATCAAAAGGACAACATCTGTTACCTGAAACAATATGTGTGTGTGTGTGGGGGGGTTATTCTATCCTAAAGATGTCCTCACAAGCGACAAAATAAGACTGTGTGAGGACATTCACTCTGGACAAAAAACACATTTTTAAAGTTAGAAAGTCGAGGTATTATACGGATCATTCTATGTGAATGTGCGTCAAAGAATGTGATGCTATTTCATGCAAAGTGTGTGTGTGTGTGTGTGTGTGTGTGTGTGTCTGCATGCTACAACCCTGTCCAGGTGGCTAGATAATTAAAAACATTTCTCACACTTGAATTTACATCGAAATCTCAATGATAACATCTGGCTGAGCACAGGAGGAAAAGACCAGGTGTGTGTGTGTGTGTGTGTGTGTGCGTGTGTGTGTGTGAGTGTGTGTGTGTGTGTGTGTGAGACTGAGAAAGAGCGACTAAAATGAGCTGTGTTGGGTGGAATCTGTGATCTTTTGGTTATGTAATTAGGATATAACAAAGATTGATTAATGAGATACGCATTGAAAAAATATGCTGGCCGCCTTTTGAATTTGCATCCGCTTGCACGTGTGCAATACCAACAAACAGGACACACTCATGAAAAACAATGCTCCATAGCGCCACTAGTGGTCAAAAACTCCCCATGGTACCTTTAAACTGTGGTGCATTGAGCTCTCCAGGTAATCTTGCCACAAGAAAGAAAAGAATAGAACTCCATCTTGTGATGGGATCACACCAGCTGCAACGCCATATCAGGCCAGGGGTTGTAGGAGCCCCCTTGCTTGGACCACGGCCATCTTTGAACTCAAACTTCATTTTGACCTCAACTACACACCTGTGTGGTTTCATGACTGCATCTTATGCGGTTGTGATGTTACAGTGACAGAATCTGATCACTCGCACAAATTGAGAACAATACCGTTGCTGTCGCAGCTGGTGATGAAATAAGCAATGTGTCAATGAACAACAGTTGCTTGTAACAAGTTAGTTGGTTGTTGGTTTATGTGCTTGTCACAGGTACAAGTGTCTGTGATCAAAACCGCTCTTGAAGAATACATTTCAGAGGCAATGATGGAACAGGAAACCACTGATGTTTCAGCCTGTCTGATCAGCCTGGAAGATAGACAGGGACGAAAGCTTCTTGCTTCAGAGTCGAGTGCATTTCACAGACAAGGCAGCAGCGTGACACCCAGTTAAAAAACAACAGCTGACACGCTGTTAAGCCTTTGTTCAAGCTGTGAAATATACACAGAGACGGATTCAAAGCCTGAAACAGCACATGAGTGTTATTGCTGAGATCCATAAACAGCAACCACAATCAGAGTATCGGCTGCTTTTTGAAAGGTAGAAGCCTGTTTTTAATTAGCAGCAGATGTTTTTTTTTGGGGGGGGGGGG